AAATTTGTTGCGACTCGAGCCGGTGTCACGTCTGTGGCGTAGTGCGTCGAGGTCACAGGCCACCAAGGTCACGGTGAGTTAAGGAACTATTTATTACAACATAAATAGAGGTGTTACACATTCGTCCCCTGGGCTAACAGCTTAGGAGCTCGAAGAGCCCTTATGTCTTCGTACGCTCTGAAGCTGTCGTCTTCTCTCTGACACATAGGTCCACTGCTTAGCATCATGCCGCTTGTTTCTTTATAGGTCCCGGGTGATCCCTACGTCATCAACGTTCAATCAAAACTGTCACTGTCCTGCCGTCAGCATCGTCCAATCAGGAACCACCGCGCTGGATTGCATCCATAGGCGAGTGGTATTGCCACGCGTTGTGTAAGACTCGCCAGACTGGATGGCTCGATTGCATCATCGGGCGAGCATTGGGCCCGTGGGTTGAGGGAGGTCACCATGCGTTGCGTAAGATACCATGGCGCCGCCGGGCTTGATGACGTGTTCAGGTAATGGCGTCAGGTGGCCTTACTTGCTGGCCTAGACACAGGTTGCCTTTGCAGAAGCAATGAAGTTTTGTTTGGACTCCCAGGCATAACAGCACCCCTACACCCAGACAATGCACCGGAAATACAAGCTGCTTCGACGTGGCTCGGATGTCGGGCGTGCTCGTTCACCCGGTCCCTCTAGGTTTACCTCCAGGCTTATGGGGAGGCTTTGAATCCAGGCTCAGTTTTGTAAACAGATCCCATTCTTGAGGATGAACCACAGCTCCACTGGCTTGTCGCCAAAACTTGTCGACTAGCTTTGCTCGTCTCTTCTGATGATTTTTGGTTTCAGTAGTTGTTGATGGTTCTGCAACTTCTCAAGAACAGTTCGACAGCAGGCAACATGCCACGCAAGCAAGTGCCCTTGGTTAGCCAACAGAACACCAGACACAATACAGTACAAAATATACCTAGCTATGTGTCTATCAGAATTTCGTTCTCTATATATCAAAGGCACATGATAAACACAAAACAATTAAGATGAGGACTCAAAAGTTTGCACGTACAACAACGCAATAAAGTAGTGTAATACATATAAAGTTAGCCCCTTAAGATCACGCTGGACGGCAGCTCTGAACTAAGGCTGTGGTGGGGACAAAACTTTGCCCCGACTAGCAGCGAAACTACAAAATATGGAGGGTACTAACTAAAACAAACGCACGGCTCAATTCGTCTGCATTAGCGTTTAGCTTTCCTTTCTTGTAGCGAACGTCTAAGTTGTGCTGTTCAAGTATCATGCTCCACGTCGGTAACTGGCCACTTTTAGGCGATGATGCTTATGCGGTACCAAGAACTGCTCATACTTGTGACGTTGCACGCTTGTGTAACTACGACAGAGGAGCCTTAATTTTTCTTAAAAGAAACCATTCTTTTCCTTCGTTTCCAATTTTTATATTTGGATTAGCGCTTTCATCGAGAGGGTCTCATGCTGCTCAATCAACCTTCGACAGCTCCCTCTCACTTTCAGCTGCAGGCGAGACAGCAGTGTCTTTCTCGCACAATGGCGCCAGTTTGTCTCCTCCGCCGACGGGAACGGCACCGCTTGCTTTAGCGACGGGATGCAGGATTGACTCACATGGAGATTTTTTTGTCCAAGGCTCGCTCGACCACTTGCTGCCAAGGTCATGCAGATCAGCCGCTTTTGCAGGTGGTGATTCACTATATTGAACGATATCAACTTCCTGCGAAAGCTTACGCGCTTGTGATCGCGTGAGATAAATGTACGCTAAGTCGAAAAAGAGCAATTTATCCTGGTCTTTGAAAAGCTGCTCAGAGTTATTTGAAAAAAAGAAAAGAAAAAGGATCAGGAAGCGCGACAGACGCCGCCGCTTTGGTGCGAAATTTACCGAACTGTTCTTCAATGATAACAATAGCGATTGGTAAGTAAGCACTCTGTTCTTAGCCACTCGCATGATCCACGCGCACTCTCCTGTAAAGTCGTCCCAATACGAAAGCGAAGGTTAGACAACGCACATAGTTGCCCCTGAGTCTCGAAGTGCTCGACACGTGTTTAGATTACACTGATTTTCTGGAGATGTGGCTCCAAAAACCGCGTGTTTTTTTCAGACAACGGGATGTGCCCTTCTTTTTTGCAGTTATAGCACATTAGCGGCTTTGGTGATTTAAACGGCCGTGTGGTATCTGTGCGCTGTTTAGGAAACTCGCTTGATTTGGCGCTTACGTCTTTTTTTCCCCTTCAGTGTCCTTTGTAAGAGACGGATTTTTTCTGAAATGAGGGTGCGTAGTGGGTTTCGGTTCTTCAGGCTTCTTTTAAAAGCCCTGTTGTCTTTCGCCGTTTTCAGCGCGCCGTACTATGCCACTTTCGGCGAAATTAACTCCTCAGCTAACCCTCCTGCCTTGTTTAGCTGCACTTCGCCAAGCTTGTCCTGCAGCTTGAGCTTAACGGCATCTTCAATGCAGCGGTATCCCTGTTCCAATGCAATGCATTCTACCACCTTACGCGATCGTCATTAACATGTTAGCCCTTGAGCCATTCAATTAAATCGGCCAAAGTCAGCGTGTGAGTCATTGCACTTTTTGCGTATGGGTACTTTTGCCGAAAAGCCTTGAGTAACAACTTACAACGTCTCAAGAGCACTTTCTTAACCTTTTCATAGCTCTTAAACGGTTCCCTCGACAACCACTATCATCGCGTCGGACACTTCGCCGTGAAGTAGACCTAACAGGTTCTGCACCCAAAAATCCCGCTCCAAGGCATTTCGTTCACAGACGTCTACGAACTTCACGAGATACTTCGGCATGTCCTCACCTACTATGAACGCTGCCAGTTGGTCCTGCCGACCGCTGACCTGAACTGTCGCAGAAGCTAGGCTAGCCGCCTGCGAGCAATATAGAATTGTCAATTCTATTTGTTTCAACTTGAGGCGCTCCTCTCTCTCAGCCTCTTCACAGTCCCAACGTTCTAGTCTTTCAGCCTTCTCGCGGCATGCTTTGATAGACGCCCAGTTGTCATCGACTTCCTCAGTCATCCCTCCTTCGTCCTTCATAACCTCAAGCATCGCTTGCTTTCGTTTTGACCAGTTCAAAGTAAGGCCAAGTTCTTCACGAATTTCGATGAGTTCCTTCATTTCAGGTATACACTCTATCGCTTGCACTAGCCCTTTGCGGTTTGCTCTTGTTAAGAATATACTTGCCGTACCCCTAAATGTGTACTAGCAAGACGCGCAAGCAAATTTTAATACTACCATGTTTACTCCCTCCGCATTAACTTTGGTTGAAAGAGCTCTGACTTGACTTGAGACAATGAAAGCTCACTTCAATGCTTCACACAGCCCTTTTCTAAGCTACTGTAACCTGTGCTAGAGCAGGCTGGAGAAGTGAGGCGAAAACATCAGGTGCTGACCGAATCTAGGTAGCTGACACCGGCCGATCCTGCAGCTGCCATCCACTGCTATAAAGCGCGCCACCGCCGAGGTTACGAAGGGCGCCACGAAACTCACCGCCACTAAGGTCACCGGCCGGGCTGACCGCGCAGACACTCGCAGAGGCGAGATGTCTTCGGACGCTCTGGCGCAGTCGTCTTCTTTCTGGCGCATACGTCGGCTGCTTGGCATAGCACCACTTTGTTGTTTATACGCTCCGGGTGAACCCTTACGTGGGCGACGTCCAATCAGAAACGCCGCTACCCGGCCGTCAGCATCCTCCAATCAGGAACCGCTGCGCTGGATTGCATTCATGAGCGAATGCTATTGCCACGCACAGCATTATACCACCAGACTGAATGGCGTCGATTGCATCATCGGGTGGGAATCGGGCCTGTGGGTTGAGGGAGCTCGGCGTGCGTTGTGTAAGACACAACGGCACCACCGGGCTAGATGATGTCGTTGAGTTGATGGCGTTAGGCGGGCTCGCTCGCTGGCCTTGACACTGGTGGTCTTTGCAGAAGCAATAAGGTTTGGTCTGGGCATTCTGGCATAATGAATATCACATAAGAATCAATTTTATTAAAGCAAAATATCCACTGCATTGAAGGCAGCGCGATAGTTGACGATTGAATGTCACTGTGATGAAGCTCTCTAAGTATCGAGAGCGAATAGCCCGTCGCGTGCGTTTTGTCTTGCTGTTTTATTTATGGAGGCTCCTCCAAACTATGAACTGGACACTCGAAGGGTGCCTTGTGTTTTAGGTGGATTATTGCCGTGGTTATGAACATTTTGGCTTCGATATATGGAGTGTTATTGCTGGGAACATGTGCTGAAGGGTACCCGGCACGAGCTGCCACTTTCCGCGTGAGATCAAAACTTCTCCGGAAAAACATGACGATAGTGCAGTACAGGCACAAAGCTAAGGGAGGGCCCTCACACTCTCTCCCCCCTCCTCGTAATTCAGAGGTGACACTTCTATTTCTCGAGTGCTGCGAAACTTGTGCGGCGTTGTTGCTCTGTGGCGTGTTCTGTGGAAAGGGTAAAAGGCGCACTTTTGGCGGACTTTTGGCGCACTTTGACACCTTTTATACTTTTTTTCGAGACACGCGCTCAGTCACACGTGAATCGTCGGCTTGTCTGCACTTGGTTATTGTGCTGTCGTTTGAAATTGGAGACGGACGCTTAGCCAAGGTATCGTTAGTGTCAAACACTGTGCACAAGTACACTTTCTTAGAGCCCCGCGCCTTTTTTTGCAGCTGCCAGTGCTGAATCACCTAGCACCCAAACGAAGGGGAAATCAATGCCTCCTGCGACTGTCCCGAACAGGGGAAAACAACAGGCATTCAGCCCAAACGTTCGGCGCTGCGACAGGCCAAGCAAGATTCTGTCGAAGGTTTCTTTTTGACAACAGCACGCACACAGAAACTCGAATTGTTTGTTGGCTATGTGGGCGATTTCTTCTCTGGGGTGAAATCTAAAGAGGTCCACAACTTGCTCGCATGCCTGAATTCTCTTGTGCTTGACATAAAGCTCACAGAGGAAAGAAAGAACCATTCGTCTTTTCTTTTATAGTTGTACTAGTCCCAGATTGCTGGTAATGTCTCCTTCAGTATCCTAGCTACAGTAGAAGCATGCATTCGGAAGCTCAATGCAATGTCCTCCATGGACCCTCCTGTGGCCAGAAATCTGCAAAGTTGTTAAAAGAACAGTCCATATAATTACGGTTCAAATATTTTGACATACATGTTTACACTAAACGAAAGTGTTATCAGCATACATATATCCTTTAATGTCTGCATCGCGTTTCACAGACGCCATAGGGCCACAGACAGTAGCGAGAATAGTTCGTCGGTGACTCTATATAGGCTGGATAGGAAGAACTATTATACGCGGTGAAACTTTTCGGAAATATAACCGATCAAGAAAAAAAAAAGTTAACGCGAACCAGTGTTTACTTTAATGTCATGCACGGGGAAGTTTAGGGAGGTGAATACGTGGGTTCCGTATCTTCGAAATTACGAAAAGTAGGGACCACGAAAAAAAAAAGCATATTACGGGAACGAATTCTTGCGACATGTCAGCAAAAAGCGTAATTTTCTAGAACAACAGTACACATGCATGCACGTCGGCTCGTGGCCGCATTGGCTAACTGCTAGCAAATATGATCAGCATATCTTTTACCTCAATGTCACCGCGAGCCTCTCTGCCGGTGAAATGGGTCTCCTGTGAGTTGGAGGATGAACAAGCCTGTGGTAAACAAGGCTCAGCAGCTTGTCGAATGATGCCTTTGTCATCCTGCGTGCGACAAATGCATGACAGTTACGTATAACATACTTATCCGAGCTGAAGCTACACAATTCCGAAAGGAGCAACGTTTTCACTTACCTGAAATACTTGAAATGATATTCAGGATCACTGTGCCGAAGCTCCTGTACTAGGTGGTGGTATTCTCCATACTCTGGACGCTTCTCAAATATATCCCTTATGTAGAGAGACCTGTTTCTCTTGCGACGCAGACGACGCACCAACAACGCGAGAATAATCTTTCGTCTTGCCGCATGTGTCTGTGTCCGTGCCATCGTCTGTCGTCCATCTGGTCTGTTGTCGCTGTCTGTACATCTGTTCGTCTGTATGTCTGTCTGTCCCTCGGTCCGTTCGTTCTTCAATCTACCTAGTGATCACTCCATGTTCCGCCAGCTCGCATCTTTTCATCATATATTTTTATTTACAAGTACTGCCATCAAGCGAACATTCCAAAAAAGGTAGCTTCCTACTACTACTACTTACATCGAGGACGCAAGACCCACAGCCTAAAGAGCTTTGCCCCTAAGAATACGTTACCTGCGTCGCCACAATGACAGCGGGTGTCTATACCATACTTCGCCAGCGCCAGCGAGTCTATAGCACGCCTACCGGAAAGTGTAGGAATCAACGTCACACACAAGCTATTCGACACTATAAGCCGCTTCATCTCTCGCCCCAAAGACTACGCACCTGCGGAGAAATCTCAAGGTGTACACTGCCCCGCCTCCTATATTAAGGAAACAAAGAACTTCCTCGAAAGGATACGACAGCACCAAACTGATCTCGATCAACTTAAGAGCCAACGTAGTGCATTAGCAGAACACTGAGAGTGGTTTGATTACCACATCCACTCGCACGACGCAGTGATTCTGGAAAAAGAAAGGAACCTATGCTGACAACTCCTCCTCGAAACCTGGCACATTCAGCAGACAGCGGGGAGCAGAAGTTGCCTCCCCTCTACTGTCAGGGTTTGCGACTGGTCAAGGCGAACTTTTCTCGCAAGAAGAGCAAGCGTATATAAGCGCTACACATCCCTGGCTTTATCACTCCTGAGTAAAAAGTCGGTGTGGCTTCGAAACGTTGGGTTCTGTGAATACAATGTTTCGTTGGAGTTTTTTAAATGTCTCTTCTCAGTCATTGTTCTGATCAGCCTCCATGTCTTGGTGCCTCTTGGATGTGTGAAATGGGTTCGGCTAATTATAACCTGTGTTGTTCTGGCGTCGCAATGTTCCCCGAGACGTCCAGGAACTTCTACAACGCGACAGTCATACTGCAAATTCTTCAGGCTCGGTGGCCTCTGTGGACACGCCTGACCGACTGATGGCGTGAGAAGGGCTATTTGCAGTCGGATCTGCTAAGGAGTGGCTGTCACGAGGCTATTTATTGAGCAAGCTCTCATCTTAGTTTGTGTAAACCGAACACCGATGACCTAACTATAATCAAGAAATAAGCAGACGAAACCATTTGTTTCAACCAAATTTTCAACACTCAGTATATTACAGAAATCCTGAAAAATACACAACAAAGAACACAGCAAGCAAAACTAGAAGGCGGTTAACAGGAAGAAGAAATCGCTAAATACACGAATAGTGCGTGGAAAGAAATTTTAAGAGCAAAAGAGCCCATATCTCCACAGAGCGCGTCGCGGTGCTTGCAGCAGCAGCTCTGCTACCGACGTATAGACGCTCTCACGCAAACGGTGATGATGGTGATGCAGCTGAGACACTCACATTGTTGTTTGGGAGGGAAGGAAGTGTCGGGATAGTTAAGGTCAGTAACCTTTCGGCGTTCAGAAGCCGCAGCTCAAACACGAAGCCGGAGAAGTTTTTTGGTCAACGCCAGAAGACCAGAACAAGCCTTACCCACGCCAGAGGACGAAAGCTCTGTGTGCAGGTGGCAACTCGCAGTGATCTTGATGCTGGAGAACTGCTGGCCGCCAGCTACCTTCTTTGCTTGGTCCCGACTCAGCCACGCGTGCCAACTTCGTGGTACTTCTTCCATCGCTCTCGTAAGCCTGCGTGGAGGCACCTTATTGGTTTCAAATGTTCACGCTTACACGAGCCGCACAAAAGCGTCGTCTTCGTCATCCCTTTTGTTCAGGCTGGTGGCGTTGCGCACTTTTCAAACGCACACTCACATTACAAAAGCTGCCTTTCGAAAAGTTTTTCCCTCGTTAAAAAAGTGCAGATAAGTGCGCATTTCGCCACACGCAACACACATCCTTGCCAACGTTCACCACAATATTTCGATCGATCCACTTAATGAACCTTGAATGTTGACACAAAATCTTCTGAAAGTACACTACACACTTCACAGCAGCGCTGCAGTGTCCTTTCAAAAACTAAGAAAATTACAGTTCTCAAAAAATGGTTGTTTTAAACCCAGTATACATAATCAAATTGAATGAAATCCAAGTTTAATTACATCTTGAATGATTTGGGCAAGCTTGTGCGAAAAGCGAAACGATTCGCGTGATGAAAGACCAGAACCCCATGTACAAGGCATACAGTTGAGAAAACAAGCATGTGCATATACTAGTAAAAACCGATCATTCGCGTGACACACATGACAGAAGAAAAATCACAAATCTTGTCATGAAAAACAATTCAAATACTATCGCTAAAAATCAAAAGTATCGCGTTGTATACACAACAAAAACAAGAAAAAGAAAGTAATGTGACAATTGACACGATTGTTTCCATAATATCGCCGACAAAAATGTACAGAATATGTGTAAATAAGTAGCACGAGGCAATCGTAAAGCAAAATGGTTTAACATTTATTATTACAATCGTAACATTTCTCAGTACAGTATTCATTCTTGGATGAGATTACTTACAAAATTGTTCCTTTATACTTCATGGTGAATGTTTTCTATTTCTATTTCACAACTCCGCAGAAGCTAAGCAAGTGAGGCCTTCCACATTCAGTTCGACAAGAAGGAATGATTGACACTTTTGGACTTTCTGACACTTTTGGACTTTCTTTTGGACTTTCTTTTGGACTTTCTTTTGGACTTTCTTTTGGACTTTCCATTGACACTTTTGGACTTTCTGGTGGCGGTGGTGAGGCATCGTGCGATAGTTTGTGGTTCTTTTTCACTCGTAGCGATTCATTAACTTATTTCAATGCTTTCAGGCGCAGTGTGATAAAAGTTCCCGTCCGCACGTTGTTTGTGTCAGGCGGTTCACGCAAGAAGGCCTATCTTACTCACAAGTGGAAATGTAACGCACGACCTCTAACAACCACTTGCGAACGATTTGAAACTTAGGAGGCATGTTTTTCTGACAGCTAGTGTTAAGCCGAAAATTAAGTTCAGTCAACAAAAGTCAGCAACACGATAACTCCTTGTCTACTACTAGTCGTGCTTGTTTTCCGGCCGTCTAAATGCACAGTTGATTTATTATTTGCTGTGGGAGTCAGTTATACACGTAATAATGAAAGAATCAAGCGTAAAACTCGCGTAGCTTTGCTCCCATGACTGTCACACCACGACAGTAGTCATACCAAGGCATACTACGCTTACATAACATCTTTCGGACCTCTTTCGTTAGCTGCGCTTCACACGCCCTAAGGTGGATTTTTGAAAAGTCCCCTTTTATTTAGCTCTACATGGGATGTATTTTATAAAAGGCTGCCTCTTCACGAAAGAAAAAGGTTATTTGTCAACACAGACCCAAGCTTCACCCGCGTGTAACCCAATCGACGACTGCAAAATATAAGCAAGCAGTACGAAACTTCACGCAACGTATTCACGTAATTGTGCTGTTATCTTCATTATTACAATCGTGGAATGTCCTATCGTTCCAACGTCATTTAAAAGTTATGCTGACGTTGTAAATTATGTAACAGTAAACATAAAGGTGAGCGCATCGTGTGCAAGGCAGCATTAGAGAAATGATGAAGCGGCAAACTTATGCTGTTTGCACGCACTTCACTTGGAGCATACTGCTAAGTTACTGCAGCCGCTACACTGTATAAAATGAGGACACTGCTTCACGGAGAATACTGAAGGTACAGCGCTGCTGAACCATTCCGCGAGAACAAATACAACTATTTCCTTATGACGTAGCCTTCTCGCGGAATTCATGCATGAGCACAGCTAACACAAAAAAACCCGTCCTTCTTTTCAGGTGACAGACCCTACAGTGACCGAAGTTCAATAACTTCCTTCAAACAAGGCGTTATTACGTATTCTATACGTTGTCCCAACTAATAAAAAGAGTGTTTGTATTGTTCCGCGTACGGTCTGCTTGTATTTTGCCATAAAATACGGCAGATTTTTTTCTTAATAAAACAATAGTTCTGTACCACAGCTGTGCCACACAGCCTGCTGCAAAATATAAAATGGAAGATTTAGTTTATGTCCTGTGTGCCCGTGAATGTGCAGTTATTTCTTTTTGACAGCAAGTTTGGTTGGCTGCACACGCTGTACATTTCGTTTCTGTGCGAACATTCCTCTGCAAGTGAACACAGTGCTCATAGAATGATTACGACGTACTGTACGTTTTGCACAGGTAGGATGATTTTGTTGAATGAATGCAGTCACTCATGGTTAGCTCCTTAAAGTACCTGTTTGTTATGCACACGAGAACAAACTGAACAGGAATTCAGTTGAACGAAATTCTACACAAAAAACAAGAATTGAGTGTGCAGCGAACACAGGCACAAAGAGCACAGACATGTTCATGGAGCTAATTGCGGCACTGAAATGACGAAGAAGGGACAGACCGAACATATACAAGCCTGTCCCGTCCTCGCGATTTGAAGTGTAGTGATGAACTTAATGAAGATGTTACACCAACAAGGCCAAGTGTTTACACTTGCTAAGTTCATATGACATCCTCCCTTTCCTCATTTCGCAATTTTTTGTTGAGCCAACCTGCATATAGAAAAATGTTTTAAAGTATGTGTGAATTGATGAGTGCAAAAAGTTTACTTGGACTTGACAAATAATAAAGTTGCATTGAAGTGTTTGCACCTATGCAGGTGGCATTCGCAGCGTACGTTGGCAACAGCTTAGTTTAGGGTGAACAGTCCATTAGCAACATACATCCTCGGGAACATGTTGTTTAAGGAAGGTAATAATTGAATACGATTAAACTATTATTACAAGCCCCTTTCCCCCGATCTGTCTCCAAGCCACTTCACTGTTTAAGCAGAAGATATGCCCTATTGTCCAGCAGTTAAACTCAATCTTGGAGCAAGCTGCACTGGTGGCTAAAGCAACATCCCCCCTTTGTGGTCTATAAAGCTCTGAACTTTTTCTG